GGAAATTATGATTCTAGAGCTTCTTTTGAGGTTATCCAGTGGATATTCCTCCCTGTCTTCAAGAAAAACTACCCTTAAATTGTCTGCTTTTGTGAAGACAGTTCAGTCACTTCTCATTCTGATATATTTTTTAAAGTCTTTTTTGGTTCATCTTTTTTTTCTCTCTGCAGTGTAGCTCAGAAATAGCTGGCCACCCACTGTTTACCTCTGAAAGAGCTAAAAAACAAGTATTTCTAATTTGGGTTATGTTCTGAACAAATAAAAACAAGAATAAACTGAACCTAATGTGGAGGATAATATGAGCAAAAAAAGGAAGAGAAATAAGAAATTGAGAAATTAGGGACAGCACTTTATGTCAAGTCATGAAACAGACGAGCAAAATAGGAAGAAGAAATCGATCCGGCCACTTGTCTCCTTTTCAACTGTTTGGCAATGTCAAAAATTCATAAAATTATCAATATCCTATGAATGTTTTTATTTCCCTCTTCCTGTGGAGTAAGTAAAACTTCTTCTCAATTAGTTGATAATATTTTGAACACTTCAAGACAAATCAAGAATAGGGACTGTGAGGTTCCTGAGTGCAGGAAACTTGTTTTACAGTCCCCATATCCTAACACAGAGTAGGTGCTTATTAAATGACTATTGAATGCACAGATGAAAAGTTTGCCCTAGCAAATGGGAAAGGTTATTTGTTTATTTATGTTAGCAAGATGTGCTTTTGGTTCAAGGTTCCAAATTTTTTTGTTAATTTCAAAGCATTAAGTGATCAATTTTCATAGCTTAAAATATTTGAAAATTGAAGGTTTTCAACCATTATAATTGTGTCTTCATTTTTGCATTAGTTAAGAGTATCCATGAACTACACCACATAAATTACTCCTCATATACTTAATTGTACTTTCAGGTATATGTTTGTATTTAATATAAACTAATACCAGGGAAAACATGTTTACCCTCTATAGAACAGTCCCAGGATATTAGATATTTTGCTAAGAATTACCTGTATGTCAAGGAATAGAGTTTATAAGATAATTTTACTTAGATTTTTTAAATCTTGTTTTGAAAGAGGAAAAGAGTA